CGACAACATACAGTATACACATAAAAAATGTAACAATGTTAGTTCTAAGAATTTTTATTTAGAAGGCAGAAACATTTTAATGGTTTATATTTTTGTAAAGATCCAATAAATAAAGACAATAAATTTTTAAAAAGACATTAAGAATTTACTATGCTGTCATGGTTCAACATCCTGATTCGCCGGTTCATATAACGTGACCCCAAGTGATCTCATCTCATGTAAACTACGATACAAAAATATAATTCTCTCGGTAATTATCTTCATTAATTTGAAGTTAAAGCTTAATTTTGAATACAAGTTTAAATGCAAGAATTATTTCAATTTGTACGATAGCTTACTGAGAAATTATATAAAACCGTAGTTATTTCGATAGTGCATTCTCATTAGAATTGATAAATTTAACATTTGATTTTGCATTTCTATATTTTCGCCTTCGGGTGAGCGGTGTAATTGCATCTTAATTGACTTAATTACCGCGAATGCTCTTGGGGCATAAAAATTGATTATCTTGTAAATATCTATGCAGTTGATGCCAGTATTGAAAACAATCAATCTATAAGAAATGGCTGCGACTTGTTTGAAAATGAAGTGTAAAGGTTACCAGCGAAGCTATTCCCTTTGGCAGTAGTTGTACCATTATTGGCGACTTTATCGTTTGCGCCGGCAAAACGGAAAAGTACCAAAAAAAGTTCGGTTAGCGAATTTAGATTAACATGCACTCATGAAACTGCGCACTTCACAATGAGTGAAAACACTTGTCGTGTTTTAGAACGTTTTTGTCGCAGCATAAACTCAGTTAAATAAGAATCTGATTGGTTACGGTCTGTGCCGCGTTGACTTTTATTCCGCCATTTCGCACTGCACCATAACCCTTCAATAGTTTGCGTATTACAACCAATATCGGGATGGATAAAATTATATCTGTTCACGTGTACCCTGTGTCAATTCTTCAGTGTTGTACCCTTTCCAACAGTCTCAGGATATTAGAGTGCCATCGATAATAGTTTCTTCAATAACTGGTTCTGGCAAAGTTCTATCTGAGCGGTAAGGCACAGCAACTAAAAATTTTCATTCGTTTCTTGGCGAATTTCGCCGTACACCAGATTCAAATCAAGTTGATACTGATCAAGCTCAAGGAAAGTTAATTCTAAACACCATGCATAAATGAAACAAAGTGCACTAAGAAACTGATTCTCAAGTCTTGGAAAAATTTTGAAAATGCAATCTTTTTTTTTCTACTCGCCGCGTCCATATCTTCATACCTCCGTTTCGATGCTTCGTTTGAGAACTGAACTTCCTTTTATAGTTTTTCGTGAACTTTCTTTCGGAGTGAATAATTCCTCGTTTCTGAAGAAACTGTATGGAAAATGCTTCATCATTAGGGTAAGTCCCGAAATTTCATATCCAACGTAAATATAATTTTAAAAAATCTGAACCCTTTCAGATTTTATATTACGTCCAAAGGGGCGTTTTGTGTGTTACCTTTATTAAATATAATGTTCTCTGTACTTAAGCCATAAAATTCAATTCAACAGTAGTATCGCAAAATAATTTTTAAGGGGTATCAGAAACCCCTATACCGACAATGTTAAAGTGACCGTTTTCGATGTACCTTTTCTCAAAATCTGCTATAGATACATGCTTGAAACTTTTTCTGTAATTAAAGTATACCTATCTGATATACGAAATGAGCTTTGAAGCATTTTCAAATTTTGGAGTAAATTACAGAATATTTGTTAGGCATGTAAAATTTAGCATTTTCTCACACAAAAAAAATTAAAAAATTTTTTTTTCGAAGTTATTACAAAAGCTCATTCATTAAAATTGGGAACCTATAAATAAGCCATAAAGTTCGATAACCTTGACAGTAGTCCTGATAAAGGACATCGATATAAAAAAAATTTGGAGAAAAACGCGTCTTTAAGAAAAATCCTCATTGATGAAAGCAGTAGTAGATGACAAATTAAAACTAATTTTTTAAAGTTCTAATTTCATAGATTAAAGAATGGTATTTTAGAAAGATAAAAGTCTAGAGAATTTAAAAATGCAAAATCCGAAATCACAATTTTTTGAAGATTTTGGGGTTCCAACACCCCTTAAACGAGCATACTTTAAAGCAGTCTCGCACGCTGAATTTTTTTTTTTTTTTTTTTTTTTTTTTGGTACAGTGTTGCCATGGCTCGCTTTGAAATCGTCGAGTTTCTTAATCAAAAACTCATAAATGCTTTTCAAAATATGAAATAGATAATAAAACAAATTCCAAATTCGGGCATCCAGATGCACATATTCGGAGGAGAATTACGTTATTCAAAAATTAGATGGCTTTAGGTACCTTTGTTTTATCACAATGCAGTTAGAATCATGCATACATTTATGCAGATTCTTCATTATTTAATTTCTTTAAATATAATACAGGGCGATAGTATTCAATAGCAACAATTTGAAAAGTTATTCAGAGTTTTTAAAGTTTTCGACACAAAGTGCAAAAACGAAATTAATAGTCCTTTTGGGCTAGTAACAATAAAAACAAAAGTTAACGTTACGTCTTTAGAATATGTCTTTTCATTGCCAATTTTAAAAAGGCATTCTTTTATTATTTTAAAAAGCAAAAATTGTAACGACTTTAAATGTAAACATTGTTGACTTCATATGAACCCAATCTCTTGGCGAATTTAGCCAAACATATGGCGACGACTCCAGTTCCGATAACAGAATAAATACTGTGCTTTTTTCCTAATTATTTCCCGACTATGCAAGCATAAAGTTTTTAGTGCATTGATTTTCAGGCTGTTTATGTAACTTCTGAACATGAAATTTAACGTCTAGTGGCACTGATGCCTTAAAATTTATTCTTTAATTGATTCTACATTGGATTCCGGATGTGCATACAGTTTTACAAAGAATTTTCGGTTTTGAGGGCGTAAAAAATCGCCAAACTATTGTTGATGTCAATGCTGCCAAGAAGAATAGCAGCAACCCTAATAATTGCGGGAAGAAAGGAAGTACAATAGTAAATAACTGTCTAAGATTGACGTTTTAATTTAGATGAAAGATTAATTTCATATAATACTTTTTATTATTATAATTTATGTGAAAAAGGCTACACATGACTGAATGGAAGCAGAAGAGTCAATAACTATTCCCAGATCATTATTATAATTTATATAAAAATTGCTAACATAACCGGAATGGATGTCATCGCTATTTTCCCACGAGTTATCGCTAAAGCATAATTTCATTTTTTGCTCAAACATACTTTCTATAATGAATGATGCCTTTTCTTTGAAAAAAAATTCTCGTAAAGTGCATGGCTACTTTATTCTTTGCGCTTTTTACAAGGGTAAAACAATGAATTTTTGTCATTTTCTTTTCTTTTTAAATAAAATAGGTCGATGTGTACATAGATAAGTAAAAGGGTGTCGCAGTGCCCTTTTTGTGCAATTCTAGGATTTTTTTTAAAGTGAAAATGGGTCGATGCACATGGATACCGAATATGTACAATTTTAAAACGCGTCAAGCAGGGGTGATTTGGCACTTTTACCCAAAATCTATTCAGAGATTTTCGTCATGGGCAATTCCCAAATTGTTAAAACATAGAATATCAAAAAAGAATTTAAAATAAAAAAAATATTTAAAAATTAACTAGTAATTCAATGGCGTCTTAAGAAATATAGAATATACAACTTACGCAATTTGAAATCAGCGCGTACGCTAGATTTGGCGCGCTGTTAAATGGGCGCGTTTGCTAGATTTGGCGCTTTTGCGCATACATTTTCGCTGCAATTTTTTTACGGTTCTCAAAACGAGCGAATTTTCCTCTATGATGATTTTGTTTTAGATTTGTTTCACAAATCGATATTATTCGCTGACCAATTCCTATTATTTGCTGACTGCATAATAAAAGAGGATTGTCTTATAATAAAAATTTCTAACCACTTAGTAATTTGTGTCTAAAATTAGAAAATGGATTTCGTTTGCAAGAAATAACTATTTTATCTAATAATAACTATTCTGTATAGCTAAAACTGAATTATTTATTAGCATTACACGAGTAGAAACGTGATACTATAAATGAAGTCGATTGGAGGAAGATAACTGATAACGCAAAAATTTACTGGTCGTCAGAAATATGCCACAGATATGTTCATATCCACCATCAGGCGAGAGAAAAAAACTCTAAGGTACTTTTCCGTTTTGCCGACGCAAATCTCGCCAAGCAGACTTTATTGGCGGCAACATACGTATACACATAAAAATGTTTAACACATGTTAGTTCTAAAGAATTGTTTATTTGAAGGCATAAACATTTAATATGGTTTAAATTTTGTAAAAAAGCCAATAAAAAAAGACGATAAATTTGAAAAAGACATTAATTAAGAATTTATGCTATATGGTTCAAACATCCGGATCGCCGGATTCATTTCCCGTACCCCAAGGATCTCATCTCAGTAAGCTACGCTACAAAAAATCTAATTCTCCTCAGAATTATCAATATTAATTTAAGTTAAATATTAATTTGGAATACAGTTTAAATGCAAGAATTATTTCATTCGTACGATAGCTTACTCAGAAATGTAACCCGCAGTGCTTTACTCGCTAGTGTATTCTCAGAAAATTGATGAATTTAACCCTTGACTTTGGCTTTCTACATTTTCGCTTCGGGTGAAAGGTGTGACTGCATTCTAATTTATTTAATTACCGCTAATGGCCTCGGGCATAAAATTGTACTATCTGGTAAAAGTTCTATATAATTGTATGCCAGTATTGAAAGAACCAACCAATGTGATAAGAAATGGCGTCGTCTTGTTTTGAAAATGAGGCGTAAAAGGTTACCAGCGAGGTATTCCATTTGGCAACAGTTGTACCATTATTGGCGACTTTATGTGTGCGCCGACAAAATGGCAAAGTACCAACCCTTAATGCTCTTATTAAATGTAGGTAGAACCAATATCTCATTTCAGAAGTATTAATTTTATTAAAGCATATTTTTTTAGACTTACCATCTCCACAGTTCTCATGTTGCCGCTTTCAAATGCAATGGCGTTTGGAGGTGTGGCTACTGGCAACATAAAGGCATAAGAGCAAACTACAGATACCGGGAGCATTAGATACAGAGGATTTACCCTAATAGACACAGCCTGTAAAAGATAAAATGGTTTAATTAATTAAAAAAAAATATATTTATATAAAATTTTTAAAAAAATCTGAAAGCTTTCAGATTTTAAGATCAGTTCAGATTTCAGCTTCAAAAATCAAGTCATCAGCAATTCAATTTTGTAAAACTTAAACGAATTTTTTTTAACAAAATCAACGTTCGAAGCGAGCAATGGAACACGGTACGGGGGGGGGAACTCCAGGGTAGGCGCGCGAGATCATGTCGAATTCTACGAATATCTAATTTTAAAATTATTTTGCATTACTGTGAATGAATTTTATGGTTAAGTGCTAAGGAACATGATATTTCATAAATACGGTGAACAGAAAAAGTTTAAAAAAAACGCCTCTTTGGGCGTATGTAAAATAGGAAATCTTAAGTTTTAGTCCACTATATTTATGTTTTGGCATTTGCGTTGGTTCAATATAAATGTCTGATTCTTTTTCAAATGTGCCATCAAATATTATCGCCTGTAATATGAAGAAATGATTAAGATGAATTGCACTAAATGTAGCATGTTCTCGCATTGTGATAAACAACGGTACATACAGCTATCGAATTTGAATGACTAAGTTACTGAAATAGGGCATCGGAGCCCAACTTGAATTCGGGAATTTGATATCGATTTCATATTATACACCTTTACGAATTTTGATCAAAAAACTCGAGGCTTCAAAGTGAACAATGGCAATTGACAGAAAAGCTTTATCTCAGCGCGCGGATGATGTTTAATATGGAAAGCACAGAGGGCTATAGCCGAAGGGAGGATGCCTTCGTGGAGGCGTTCTAGAAAACTGGCTAGATACAGTTCACATAGAAGAAACCCAATGCAGCCGCCCTCGCTGGTATTTGAATTCGACGAACTACAGTTTCAGCGTTTTTACCAGCGCGCGGAACTGTGTTGAAATTCTAAAGTTATGATATTTTTAAATATTGCGATTCGTTGTTTTGAAACGAATTTATGGTTTAAGTGCGAAGAACATGATATTTAATAAATAAAGTTAGCACACAAACATTAAAAAACGCCCCTTTGGACGTATTTTAAAATCTGAAACCTTTCCGAGTTTTTTGTTTTGTTTTGTTTTTATTTATTTATTTTTGTTCCTATTCCCCAGACGACCTTCCATAGGGTTCTGGAATTAATTTTAGAAATTAAGCGTCTTTTCAAATAAAAGTTGCAGGTCTTATGAGTTATTGATCCTCTATGCACATAATGTTCGAGTTCTAGCCCCAAGTATAATGGTTTAGGATACTTTTTTATTTGCATCGGCAACTTCGATGCATTTTAATCGCAATTTTGTGTGTTTATTGCTTGACTGTTCTGATCCTTCATTCATGTTTTCCTCTATAAGTGATAAGTTTCAGAATGCAGCAATTAAACTCTCATCGTTTCGTTATCACTTGCTAATTTACGTTGTACCCTTATGAAAAGACGTCAGACGTTATCAAAAATACCAGACGATGATATGTTGATTTTTGCCATTAACGAAGCAACTCCAAATGATAAGATGGTTTACTTTTCAGTATGTTTTGATTTATTTAGATACTTTAGTGACCGGTTTGTTGCGGTATTTTGAATGATCAGCTGGGTTTGACTTGGGTTATTTTGAAACGAAGGGAACTGATGCATACATATTAGGTAATAAACTGTTTTGGAAACGCTATAAGCCACTGTGTTTTTACCAGCTACCAGAAAATTACAGGAATTTTACAAATTCTAGTGATGAAACGGAAAATGTTATCAACCATATGAAAAATGTCTCAGTAACCTTCTGAAACTCCCTTTTTTATTTCCATGTACGAAGTAAAAAGGAAGTATTGTAATCGCGAAAAATTTCGAGTATTTCAACGAAATTTTTCAGTTTTTCAGATTTTAACGAAAATATTCATTTTGACCGCTATCGAATTCAATTTAACGATGTTTTTACGCGACGTTCTTAAGAACAAAATAAAAGACTCTTTTTCCCAAAACCGGTTGCAAAAAGAATTTAAAATGGATTCAGCAGAAATTTTTCGTGCCGTTGAACGTAAGTACGTATGTTGTATCTCGCATAACTCAAAACGTAGATGAACGTGAAATTTGAGATGACTGCTGTCAATGTAGTTGTGCACCTCCCTCTTTGGTTGCAATCGGCTGTACCAAAAGTATATAAATATATGTAATAATAAAATTCCATAGTCAAGAATACACTTAAATTCTAAACGGTATGTTTTTATTTTAATGGCGACGTTCTCTTATTTGAAAGTACGTGGAATTAAATCCACAGCCCCGTAGTCAAGATGTTTCCCCTCCCTTTTCTACACGCAAAAGAATATCGATTAATAAATAAAGATTCGCAAAAGGAATATCGGGGCTTTTTCTTAAATGTCACGATACAGTAAACTTCATACAAAATGTTATTAGTAATTCTTTTTATTTACTCCGGATATCTGATTTTGTAACTGCTATTTCACCTGAGTAACAATAAATGGATCCTTTTCTTTTTTTTTTTTTTAAACTTATCGTCTGATAATTTAAGCTACGACTAAAGCTGGTACATCATATATATATATACATACATGTCTATATATACCCACTCTGTTACTCAGCTCCGTGAGCTCAGTTTTCTCTTATATGTCTGTAAGTAGTGCATTTTCTGTTTTAAAAATGACTGAATTATATTATTCTTATCTTCCGGTTAATGCCTTCAGTTAATCTATATGCATATATCTTCGGTTTTATGTGTTTAGTTAATCTATATGCAATAGTTGTAGAATTAGCAACAATTTCAAAGTTAATTAAGTACGGCTAAATAGCAGCCTAATTTTTTGTACCGTAGTAGCCATATTTGTTTACATTTGAAACTTAGCAGAATAGTGAATTAAATCATTTTCTGCACCATCAGTATGTGTTTACTGAATTGGACCTAAAGTATACGTTCAGTTTTGTGAAGAGAAAAATCTGCTTTCTTGATACTGGCCGGTTGTTTGTTTTTGCGTAGAAACTCCAATTTTAATTGTAAAAAAATTTTTTTAATTGTTTATAACTGTATCTGGTGTTGATATTTTTCTATATTTTCAATTTTATTTATTTCAATTATATATATATATATATATATTATTTATTTTACGTGAAGCTAAAATGAAAAAACAAATATCGGCAATTCGTCATTAAGATAGAGCGGAAAGTGCATAAATGCGCCGAGATAGCAAACTGAAAAGAGATTTTTTTCGTGAGACAGACGCGAAATTTTTTCCCTGTCTCCTTTAGACTGCAATACATTAAAAAATTGGAAGTTAATATTTTAAATCAATATTTTAATTTTAAATCAATATGTTAATAGTTAGTAGGCTTTTAAATTAATATTTTAATTAATATTCTAATTTAATGTGTTGCAGTCGCTTAATTAATATTTTTTAATCATTCTTGTATTAAAAGAGGGCGAAAAGTTTGATTTATAACCTGTGAAAAATTCAAAACTGTAAATCTGATATGTTTTTAGGTATTGAAATTTTAAAATCATAAACGTCAAATAGCCTAAAAAATTTTCAAAAGGTCGCCAAAAATTCGGAAATTAAGTTACAGCTTTCATGCAAGATTCATTGAAAAGATTTTTCCCCCTCTATCACATGGTGTAAACAGTAGTGATGTATTTAATTATGGCAAAGCACACTAGGGCTATCTGCCTAAAGAGAGGGATGCCTTCGTGGTGGACTTTCTAAGGGAAACTTGCTCGTTACACATGGGGAAAACAACGAAAACGCCCATGCAGCCAGCCCGTTCGCGGGATTCGAACCTCGGAGAGAACTACCAGTGTTCAGCGACTTTACCGCTAGGCCGCTGGTGGGTGTGGTGTAAACAGTAAAATTCTGATATGTTTAGTTTGTACGTTAAACGAAGATATCTGAGAAAAACCGTTTAAAACAGGAACTACAAATTCTAAAATCCAATTTTAGAAAACGTTCCTTCACCAAACTGCACTGGCATCGATGCAAACGCACAAATAAATCGATTATAAATCGATTACAAAATTCTAACCACAGTGAAACACTACGAGTGAACTAAATAAAAGAGTACGAAAGCATCGTACTCGTGGAAAAAAATTAATTCTGTAACAAGATACGTAATAAGGTGTTGAAACATCTTTTATTATTTACAGCAGTACCACATATGTTCATAAAAATTATGAATTTTCATTATTATAAGTTTAAAACAATGTAAATTATATGAATGTAGTGTTAAAAACTGAAGTAGATATTAAAACATTAAAAAGTGTATTTATGGTTTTCAAATGTCTTGGTTTGCTAAATTGATTAAATATGGAAGATAATTTAAAAATCTCTTGCTTTGCCAATCCAACTCTGAAAATGTTTATTGAGAAAATAAAGATCTTATATTCAGGAAAATGGCAACATTTGGTATATAAATGCGTACCAGCGTAATGTAATGTGACATAAGGGTCCAAAATCGTTGGTAAAAATTTCTAATGGCAGATGTTACTCAAGAGAACATTGCCGTTACGTTATTACAATTTTGGACGCACGAAAATACGTATTAGGATTGTACGGAACATTAGGATTTTTTGGAAGCAGAAGTCATGAAGAATGAGCAACGCCTTCGCCGGAAATTGAACCACGGACCTCTGGAATACGCGCCCAGCGTGCAGACCACTACACCACGAAGGCACGCTAAGAAGGTGGGAGAAATATATACTCAACCCCTCAAAGGGCGACTGGGGTTTTTTTTAGGGGAGTGAATCACCAAATACTGGGTGTGGAAAATCATTATCCACCACCCTTTAAGTTCGGGCGCCACTGCAGAGACATTAAGTATTTTTGGAAGCAGGCAAGATGAAAAATGAGAAACGCCTTCGCCGGGAATCAAACCACGGATCTCTGGAATATGCGCCCAGCGTGCAGATCACTACACTATGAAGGCACGCTAAGAAAGCAGGAGAAATACCTTGTAACTAGAGCTTTTTTAGTTCTAGGGAACTTGAAATA